TTTTTGGAATAAAAATCTGCCTTCAGAGATCTTAGGATTTCACTGTAGGGCCCGGGTCTACCCTCGTTCTTCAGGTTCATCTTGAGGACAGTTTCTGGTCAGCCAGCGAAAACATTGTTCCTATGCTCCCTCTGCCCCGCCTGGTGATTAGTTGTAGGGCATTGTTTACCCCATCTTTGGTGTGGTGATTTCCCACCTGCCTGGGCAGAAATCCTTGTGCAGCAGCTAGGTACATAAGGATTCCCCCAAGGTTGAATAAATGGCATTCAGCTGATCTCCTTTCGAATGACCCAGGTCTCTTTTGTGTGTTCTTTCAATCTCCAGGCCCTTGCCCGACTTGCATGCGGTACAGTGGCGGTAACACAGAATCTCACTATGATCAACTGACATCTTAATGATTTATATAACCGTGTAATACAGAGACTATTAGAAAAATAAGTCTTCAAAGCTTTCCTTAAACTGCTTCATTTTTGTTTAAAATGGGTAAGTGGGTAAGAACTCTTACTATACAAGCATGAGGGTCTGAGTTCAAATCCCTAGTACCCATGAAAACCAGGGGTGGCCATGTACATGTCTGTAACCCCAGTGCTTTGGGTGGCAGAGATAGCAGGATCCCTGAGGCTTGCTGGCTACCAGCCTATGAGAGAGATACTGTCTCAAAGAACTAATATGAAGAGTGACACAAGATACCTGAGGCTCTCCCACACTCCCCACACATGCACACAAATATGCACCTACACCAACACAGATTACACACACACACAAAACTCATAAAAATTATTCATGAGTAAGAAACTCTTACAGGTGAACTTGGTGGGGGGCATACTTACAAAGCCATCTAAGTATGGCCAAAGCTGGAGGACCACCAAGAATTCAGGGCCACCCTGAACTATATATATAAAGTCTATTTTCTGTTTTCAAATAAACCATTACAAAAACTTTACATTTTAAAATGTGAGTATATAAATAAATACACACATACACATATCTTGTTTTGTTTTGTTTGTTTCGAGACAGGCTTTCTCTGTGTAGTCCTGGCTGTCCAGAACTTGCTCTGGACACCAGGCTGGGCTCAAACTCACAGAGGTCTGCCTACCTCTGCCTCCCGAGTGCTGGGATTAAAGGTGTGCACTACCACTAACCAGCTTCATATCTTTTTAGGACTTATGTATTATAGTCTTATGACTCTAGTCCAGGATGACAATCATACTTACTTGATCCTTTTAAACAGCCAAATTAAAGAAATAGTTTTTTGGCTTTTTGTTTGTTTGTTTTACAACTTACCTGTTGATGGTGAAATACAATAATCATCCTCCACAGACTGGCCATACAAATCATCATCTTCAAAATCTAAAACACAAAACAGATTCATTGACAAGTTCAGTCTTCTATATTAATGAGGAAGCACCTGAATTATCTACAAAATAAATTAAAATAGCAACTGCTAAGGAACCTGAATGTCTACTTTGCAATAAATTCCAAGAATTCTACCCACAAAGCAGACATCCACTTAACCTAAATTACTGACAGTCTATCTTTAAAAGCATACATACCTTCTGTTTTTTAAGCTGACTGGGCTTTATTTAATTCTCCCACATCTGCCACATGATCAAAACTCAGTAATAATCCAGTAGATTAATAAATGAATTGTCTAATTGATCACAAAACCTAAGGTAAGCCACCTGCTGCTATCCCTAGGCAAACATCTTTACAAAAAAGGGAGTATAAGGTACAATCCAACCAAAGTCACTCTCCGTGAGAACCAGGAAGCCTAACTTTCATGACCCCGAGTCTTCAGGTGCAGTATGTAAGTGGAGCGAGTCGGCCTTGGCGGAGCATGTTCTCTAGGAAGGCTCCAGCTGCCCCTTTACCTCCGGCAGCCACCTCTGACTTCTTGTCTTCAATGCATAAGAAATTACTGCTCCTTCTAGGAAAAACTTAGTTCCGTCAAGGACCTGGCATACATGGGACACTAAATTAATGTGTTCATAAATTAATGAGTCAAATTATCTAAAACCCTGCAAGGAACATAAATTTATACCTGAGACTCTTAAAGAGACATTTTGAGGACAAAGTGTGCACATTTCCAGCTCTGTCAATGCCAAAAGCCTAGCAGCCCAGAAGAGAGTGATTACAAAGCTGTATGATAAGTGCTCAACGTGAGAAATAAAGTGACCTGGGAACATACATGTGAACTTCGCCAGGAACAGAACATGCAAACCAATTCCACAGGAGAGAGTAGCCAGCTTTCTAGGGCACTCATGCTGCAGGAGCAGCATGCTTAAAGGCTAAGACCAAAAATCATGGCAATTAAAATTTGTGTGACTGCTAGTATTGGATAAAAATATGTGAGGTTCAAAAAAAAAAAAAACACCAACCAGACTTTAATCCCAAATTTAAAAATGTTATTCACAACCCCCAAAAATCTATCTTTTGATATAACAAATCACTTTTACTAGTTCAGGTGGCCTAAAGAGCTATAATATTAAAAATAGGGAGAAAATTCTTCCTGCCATCTTCCTAAAGTGGTTCATTTATTTCTTAAACAAAATATTGGTGTGGTTTCCTATACACATGGCATCGCACCAGCCACTGGACTACACATAGGATTAAGCAGGGCTTTTAAACGAGCTGAGTCGGGCTGCACATGCAGAAGAGTTGCTTGCCCATTATGCACAAAGTCCTAGGTTCCACCTGGCGGTACTACATAAGCCAGACCTGAAAGTCCATGACTGTCATCTATCAACTGGGAAACAGAATCAGAGGCAGGAGGATTAGGAGTTCATCTCCTTGGCTACATGAAAATGTCTCAAAACAAGCAAAAACACTAGTTGAGGCAGTCATGAAAAATACTCCAAAGGACACAGAAAAAAAGCAGGTGTTACAAAGAGGAACCAAAAGGTTTTAGACCTCAGACTAAGGAAGTTAAAATACTTTTATGAATTTTTAATTATTCAAAGTCCAAAGGGAAGCCTAACTGGGGAGAAGACAACTAGACATTGAAAACAAATTATACTTCTGTAAGCAGGGAGGGAGAAACATCCCATGACAGGGTGGGACGGGCGTGGTTATGATGTCACCAATTGTTACAAAGTATAACCTGACTTCAGGTAGCCAAGACAGGATGAAGTCACCAACTGTTACAAAGAAATATAACCTGACCTTGGGTAGTCAAGACAAGAAGGTATTCAACACTGAGTCTCAGAGGACACACAACTCTTGTCAAATACTTCACACAGAAATCCTGATCCTCTCTGATCTGGACGCTTTTACATGGCTCCAGCCACACTGGCATTACTCTTGTGGGGAACCTCTCATGTTAACCAGCTGCTCCTTTTAGACAGTCCTTAACATCTTTTTTTTTTTTTTTTTTTTTTTTTTTTTTTTTTTGGTTTTTNCGAGACAGGGTTTCTCTGTGGCTTTGGAGCCTGTCCTGGAACTAGCTCTGTAGACCAGGCTGGTCTTGAACTCACAGAGATCCGCCTGCCTCTGCCTCCGGAGTGCTGGGATTAAAGGCGAGTGCCACCATCGCCCGGCTAGTCCTTTTAACATCTTAAGCAGTACCCAGCACTCAGTTATCACTGAAGGAGGAAATAAGGTACTAAAGAGAAGAGTGTCATCCACTTCGTATCTACAAAATCTCTCCCAGTCTAAAGTCATTCCCCAGTGGCCGTGGCCGCAAGGCATTTTATACATCCGCTACAAGACAGTGGACTTCAGCAAAGGAAGACATTCCAGGCAGACTGGGTCCCAGTCTCTAAAGGCAGCACGGGTGTTGGCTGCCCGACCCTATCCCAACACAGCGATGCTCAGTCTCCCAGGGGTGTCACTAACAACAGACTCCTTCAACTGCACGCTCTCCAGTTTACAAAGCTCACTCCTTTTGCATTAGCTCACACTGTCTTTATTTTCAGCTTCTAGGATGCTTGATGATACCTATTATTATCCATTCGTTGCAGGACATATAGTCTTCCTAAAACCACACTGAACTTATCTCCTTGAGAACAGATTTTTTTAATTAAAAAAAAAAAAACCCAACGAGTCCTTTTCTAGGACTTCCCCTCTAGTGTTGCTTTTCATTTCCATTTTAAAATACATTAATATTGTTGGTCATTAACTGAACATATGCGTGAAGATCAGCAAATCGACTTAATTTCTTGAGCCTTTTAAACGTTAATCTTTTCTGTTTCCTACGTCCCCAATTTTGAAATTCGCTGAAAATTCGGGTCAAGCGAGAATTCTACAGTCAAAACACACGAACACAGGCAAAAATTAAAAAAATAAGAAGTTGACCGTAAGCACTAAGCCAGCCTGGGTTTAAAAATAAGTAACGCCTCGACGGCACGTCTGAAGAAAGGCTTATGAGACAGAAGTTAGAAACTGATACCTGGGTCCCCAAATGAAACAATGAGAAAAGAGGTAACGTTTGGATACCAAAGAGCATCGAATCCCAACGTCGCCAAACATCCGTAGGCCCGTGAGCTGCCACATTCTCCAGGGGGTCAATCCAGGAGGCAGCAATCACGCTGTCTTCCTTCCCTGGGACTCTTTCTCCCCTCCTTCTCCTCTCCTCACCACAAACACGACTTCCTAGTGTGGCTCCGGGGTTCGCACTCCCATCCTGGCGGACGCACAGGCCAGGATCCCAGCTGGAACAGCTAAGACGACTTCCCAGCGCGGCCCTGCCACCCACCTTCATCGTAGTTATATCCTCGGACGTTCCGATGCCGAGCCATCGCGGCACGCAGGGCGTCTGCCTCAGTCCCTTCCAAAGAACTCGGCTCAGACGCGGAGAAAGCGCCAAGCGCGGCCCGCAGACCTCTTCCGCGCCATCTTGGCTTCCGCCAGGCCTCTGCGCCAAGCGTCTGCGCAGACGCGACGTCCTACGTGCACACTACGCGACGGCAAGCTCTCAGGGTCACAGCCGGCCTCCCGATAGCGCGTGCGCACTCGGCGGGCGGTGCAAGGCCCCGCCCACCAGCGAGTTGACTGACGTGGATTTCAATGCCGGAAGTTCTCTCAGCTCTTTCCACGCTGTTGCAGTGAGGACGACGAGCCGTGATCTTTGACCTACACCAGCGTTCAGGATTATTTTCTAGACTTGGTTTTTGATCGTCTGAAAAGCTGCCTGTTTTGCTCAGTAAGAGCTAGGACTCTGTTTCAGCTTTTAGTCTATAGGTATACACGACAGGCAATCCACAAACGTGTGTGACTGTGGCATGGTAATTAGTCCAAGCTTTAGAGGAAGAAAGACATTTTGAACAAGTAATTAAAATATAGCCGCACTGGGTCACTTTGTTTTGTGGTAATTCATGGCTTCAGGTATGGGCTCCATGCTCCATTAACAACTCTAGTAAACAACTGTCTGGCTTGAGCTATGTAAACTATTTTCATTAACGTGGATTAATTAAGAAAGATGCCTTAGGCGTTGATTGAGTACATAAACATGTGAACTTGCTAAGAGCATTTAGTACAGCTTTTCAGACACAGCACTAGCCTTGGGGGCTCATGATGTAATACATAATACACAAATCTATAACCTGTTATTAAACATCCTCGTTTCGTAAAACACAAGGCTAATAGTGCTGTGTAAAGACAGCCTCATTATCATCATGAACAAACCGCTTTGTTGTAGCTTGTTTTTGCAGTGCCAAGGCCTTGTATCAAAAGGCAGACGTCAAATTGTACCTTACTCAGCTTTTCTTACCCACAACAATGAGAAAACACAAATTAAATTCATATTTGTAAATGGCTCAGGTTTGAGTTCCGACTACCGAATGGTTCTTCTTAACTATCATTCCTTAACGTGGCTCCAAGGCAAAATTTTATGCAAAAAAAAGGTAGATGCTAGTTTTATATGATTTTTAAGTGTTTGATTTTACGCCTTTAAGTAATTTCTACATTGCAGCCTGTCTCTTCGTAAGTAAGGATATTATCTTACTTACATATTATCTAACTCGTGAAGTTGTAAACGACATTTGCCCATGTAAGAGTATTTAGCCCAGAACAATAAAGCGCTGAAAAATATTAAATGTGCTGGACATGGTGGCTAACCCCTTTAATCTCAGTACTTGGTAAGTGGAAGCAGGAGGATCAGGAGTTCAAGGTCTTCCTCAGGTACACTGGGAGGTCCCGGACAGCCAACACTGAGATCCTGTTTCACAGGAAGTTGTGAAACTTAAACCCAAATGAAGCTCCTGTCCCACTGAACCGTCAGCGCTGCTAACTAGAACTCACTGATGCAGCCCTTGGAGTAAATGAGTTATGAACTGACCACATAAATCGTACAAGGCAGTGAATAAGGAAACAGTCCTTCTGCCTAAGAGACTACATACTTGGTTCTGTGGACCAGTTCAATATGGGTTGATTTGTGAAAAATATCAATGAAAATAGCACACTCTTTGTGCTTGTTAGTGTCATCAAGTTGACCTAACTTGCCACCAGCAAACATAATCTGGAACATAGGAGAAAATGCGGTTACCGAGAAGCTGCACTTGACTTTGTTTTTGTCAGTCTGGAGTCCTTAAAAAAAAAAAAAAAAAAAAAGTTTCTCAGATTTTAAGTGGAAATTCTTCCCAAACATTTGGGTGCCATTTGTAGCACGATTAAAGTCAGTGTCACCTGGAGATTGCTTTATCAGATTGTCCTGCTGAGGCTTTGTCTTGCTGGCTGGTTGAGGTAGGAGGTTCCAGTCTCCTCTGGAGGGCACCCTCCCCAGGTGGGTGGGCCTGGGCTGTATCAGAAGGCTGGCCCAGCAGGAGCCAAGGAGGGAGTCAGTAAGAGGTGTTCTTCTCTAGGTTCTGCTTCCTTTTCTGAGTGCCCGCCCTGGCTTCCCTTAGTGATGGACTGAAACTTGAAAGTGTGAGCCAAATAAACCCTTTCCTTCCCCAAGTTGCTTTTGGTTGCAGTCTTTTAACAGTAACAGAAGGAAGCTGTGAGGCCACCTGTTGACAGTGATATTGAAGTAATATTGAAAACAATAAACAATACCTAAAGTGTATAATGAAAAATATTTACGTATATGTAAATTCCAGCAATGCCACCAACCCAGTCAAGACAATGAATATATGCAGACTCTCAAACGTTTATATGCAGAATATAAAATACCAGGGATACTTCTGCCCTTCATGGCTGCCCGGCATAGCCTTTGGCAACAGCTGATGGGCTTTCTGTTACTAAATACCTGTTTGTATTTTTAAAAAGTTCGTGTAGTCGAAACCTGGCAGTAGGTGCTCTTTTTTTTATGCCTCCTTTTATTCAGCGTAACTATTGTGAGATTCAGTCCCATAGGTGCTTGGGTCAACAGTCCATTCCTCTTTCAGATAGAGTTCCATTGTATAGAAATGGAAGAGAAAATGCAGGCATCACCCGGTGGCCAGCCTACTTGGCACAAGGTGCTTCTAAAGAAGAAGTATGGCATACCTTGCCCCTGAAGTCAGAACACTGAATTCTGAAGTCGCCTGCATAGTTGATTGCTGGCCCATAGAGAGCCTGGACTCTTCCTCTCACCTCTAATGTGTCTCTTCCGCACAGAGACTCTAATGTGAGGAGTTCTCACTGCCCATTCTGAGCTAATGTGCTAACCAATCACAAGCCATAGGCTTCCACTGTGTAAGTGGTTATTCAGGTACAACAAATCAGACACTCTTCTCAGAAACTGTCTCCAGAGTGGTTTAGCTCCATGCCCTTTTCCAACCCACGGGCATTGCTGTCTTGTCTGGGGTCGCCCCATAACAATGGCATAGAAGGGCCAGCTGTAATCTTCCATTAATCTATTGATACCTACTTTGTTTGTTTCCAGTGTTAACTACCGCAAATAAGACTGCCGTAAATATTCATTACAAATACGTGTATGAAAAAAACGTCTACTTTTCCTAAATGATATGAAAGACGCCTTTTGAAAAAAAATGCAAGCGCTAAGGATAGAACTCAATGGCAGAACACTCGCCTGGTGTACACATAACCGTGGTTACGATTTCCAGCACCACAAAAGGGAAGAGAACAGAAAGCACCCAACAGTTTCCAAGCACGGTTGGACCACTGTCAACACCCTTGAGCAATGGAGGTGCACTTTTTCACAGCCATCCAGGACTTCTCAGCAGCTGAAGGTATTTGATGTTCTGGTGAGTTCTTCAATGAAGCATTATTTGGGCTCTTTGGTTGGTTGATAATGAGGTGTTTTCTTATTTCTGAGTCTGGAGAATATTTTTATATTCTGAATACAGTTCCTTTATCAGATGCATAACTTGGCAATATTTCTCCCGGTGTGCAACTCTTTTTTTCCTTCTGTTAGGGTGGGAGACGGAACTCGGGGCCTTGTGATGCTGGGCACGTGCTGGACCACCGAGCTGCACCTCCAGCCCTTTTCATTCTTCTCATACAATCATTTGAAAATATTTTTTTTGTTTTAATGAAGCCCTATTATTTATTTATTTATTTATTTAGGCTTTCATGGATTGTGCTCTTGACTTCCATCTAAGAGATCTTCACCAAAGCAAAGCTCATATAATTTTTTTCCCTGTTTTTATGGTTGACGGTTTGAGGCTTTACATTTAGGTTTATGATACATTTTCAACAGAATGGTGGCTATGGTGCAGGCTTAGATCACAGCCCATTTCTTGGAAAAATGGCTGTTTGTTGTTCCCGCACCATTTGTTAATGAACTCTTCACTGACCCCCCCTCTGCATGGTCATCACAGAAGTGGTTCTGTGTGAGGTGTCATTCCCGACGCTGGGTTGTGTTCCATTGATCCCCAGGGTTACCCCAGCTTAACAAAAATACTGTAGCCTAATCAGTTCTGAAACAAAATAATCTTTTCTTCTTTCCCTTGGTTTTAGACAGTTCCTCACTGTGTAGCACTGGCTGGCCTAGAATTTGCTCTGTAGACCAGGCTGGCCTCGAACTCACAGAGATCCACCTGCCTCTGCCTCCTGGGTGCTGAGGTTAAGATGTGCACCACCGCATGCAATTGACATGTTCCAGCTTTGTTCTACTTTTCCTAAGTTGGGCATTTATCATTTCCAAATATGCCACATTAAGCATAAAATAGCATTCTGAGATGCCTAGATAAATATAAGGAAAGATGTGAAAGATTTAAGCTGAGGTTAGGAAGCATTGCTGAAGAAAATAAAATCCGCTAAATGAAGAGATGGAGACTGGACAGGTGGCTCTGCTCAAGAGCACTTGCTGCTTTGGAGAGGACCAGCTAGGTTTCCCAGCACCGAAGTTGTGTGGCTCCCACCCTCCTGGAACTCCAGTTCATGGGATCCCATCCCTTCATCTGGCCTCTGAAAGCACTCTCACTCAGACACGCACACATACAAAGTTAATAATGATAATGATAATAGATAATAATAATAAAACAAATGGACCATGTCGATGACTTGAAAGTATTATTTTGTTAAATAATAGAATGTTAGCTCCCCCCGAATTGATCCCTATTTATTGTTATTCCAAACAAAATCAAGTCTTTGCTGGCAATTATCCATCAGATTCTGCACTGTTTGTTTCAGTATTGGGGACTGAATGCAGAGCCTTGTGCATTATACTTAACTACTCTATCTACCATTAAGCTAAATTCCCAAGTTAACAATCAGATTCTGGGACTTACATTTCATAATTTAAGTGTAATTTAGGGGGACTTGGAAGATGGCCCAGTGAGTAAAGTGCTTGCTAGACCAGTATTTGGATCCCCAGAACATATACAGAAATCCAGGCAAGCATGGCAAAGTGCATCTGTAATCTCAATACTGAGAAGGCAAGGACAAGGGATCCCTAGTGCTCACTGGCCAGCCAGCCCAGTGGGCAAGCTCCAGGTTTAGTGAGAGACTGTGCTTCAAAAAATAAGAGGGATAGTAACTGAAAAATACATCCGACATTGATCTCAGGACTGCTTGCTCTCTCTCTCTCTCTCTCTCTCTCTCTCTCTCTCTCTCTCCCTCTCTCTCTCTTCAAAAATGTAATTTAGATGTAAAGTTCCTGAAATAACCAAGGTATTCAGAACAAAGACTGGAACTGGATGAATTACATTAATAGCTAGAAACTACAGATATACAAACAAGGCAACAATGCACACATCTCCGAGACCTATTATGAGCAAGGATTCAACCACTGGATCCCTGTAGAGCCTTGTAGAGGAAGAGCAACTCTTCTATAGTGACAGAAAACTTAAGTTTGCACATCTTTTTTATTTATTTTATTTTATTTTTGGTTTTTCGAGACAGGGTGTCTCTGTGTAACAGTCCTGGCTGTCCTGGAGCTCACATTGTAGACCAGACTGGCCTCAAACTCAGAGATCCACCCGCCTCTGCCTCTCAAGTGGTGGGATTAAAGGCCTGTGTCGCCATGCCCGCCTGTTTTATCCATTTCAATTATGTATTTGTTTTAACTGTTTTGCTTATGATTCCCAGCATACCATTTGAGATAGGCAAACTTTAAGTCACTTAACAGTCTGTTCTCATTACAGTCTACTCTCTGTTTCTGTTTTCTACTCTGAAGTAAACAGTATTGATCCATGGAATTTGAACTAAAATGACTTTTCTATGGCTGGAATTCTTGGCAGGTGCTTAAATACCAATATGCTTTTTTAAAAAATAAATTATAGTGATTTCTGTACTCTGTAATTATTAAAGTGAAATGAAGGAAGTGATCTTTATCATTAGAAAGGAAGCGGGTGGGATGATAGTTAATAATTATGACATTAGACATGACAGTTCCCCAAGGTTCCAGAGTTTTGTAATTAAACACCAGGGAATGTTTAGCGCACACTACAAACTAAAATGTCCTGAGTCTTGAGCCTGGGGAGAGAACTAAATCTGTAAAGGATTTGCTGTACAAGCCTGAGGCCCCGAGTTCAGATCCCCAGCACCTACATTAAAAGTCTGGTGCCGCAGGTGTCTGGAATCCCAGCACCAGGGAGGTGGAGACAGGGGGGACCCTTAGAGCCGTCTTGGCCAGCAAAGAGTTAAGTCGGTGAGCTCTGGTTCCATGAGAGGTCTTGTCTCAGAAGCAAGGTGGAGAATGACTGAGAAAGACACCAAAGTCAGCCTCTGACCTCCCAATGTGGACAGGCAGCCACACGTATCTACACCCAAACACGCACACACACACACACACACACACACACAAACACACACACACACACACTGTCTTAAGTTCTTTGAGACTTTTGTAGTTCTTTGCAGATTATTTTAGGACTACTAATTACACAATAACTAAAAAATCTATTTACCTGTACTATTATTGCTAAATATCTGTAAAATCTATAAACAAATAACTTTTCTCTTACTGAGCTTCCGAGTTATTCTCTCAACCTTCTGCCAAAACTAATGATATTCTTGTCTTCCATGGGGCTTTTCCTCTCTTCCCTTATATTACTTCTTTTTCTTTTTCTAACAGCGTTTCTCTCTTTTGCCATTCGTTTTTTGAAGGGCAGAAACGTAGCTGAGTAAAAAACGGGCACTCTCCGGAGGACTAGGTCCTTAGAGCAAGGCCAAGATCTACTTCCCACAGAGGATCCCGAGGACTGGCGCTTGACAGAGGTGCTGACACCGTACCGACACAAACATGGGGGCGTCCAAGGAAGCTGAGAGAGACCTTCAAAGAAGGCTCCGTGGTGCTCCTCACTTCTGTGTGGCTTTAGGGACTGAGCGCGGAATGTATTAAGAGGGTGGGAAGGGGCTGGTGAGTCATGAACGTATCAAGCAGAGTGATCCCTGCAAGAACAAAACAGAACTCCGAGTTCCATCGAGAGACACGACTTTGCCTGGGAATGCCCGGAGAGCGCTAACACCTGCGCGCCACCTTCTAGGGCCGCTTTCAAGCCCCAACCCCGCGCTATCCAGCTGTCAATCATGTTATCACGAAAGAGAATGGTAAAGCTACTTCACAAGTCCTTTACAAGACTCACTTTTCAAAAGTTCATGTTGTCCTAAATGCTCCAGTAAGCGCTAATCCTCCAGACTAAAACCTTTCACTGAAAACATTTTCAGTTCAAACCCCTAGAGAGACAGGATTTCCATGGTGTCTCCATCACAGCCTGGTTCCTCACCTCACCACTAGAACCCTGCCCGTGGCACTCCAGGTCACAGATTCTACTCTGAAGATCTCAAGTCTGGTAGTGTGCGACTGTCCCAGGGCATTAGGACGTGTTTCTTCAGCCTGTCCTCGCCATGTCCTCTTTATTGCTCAAGATAGTACCATCAGTGTCACAGTACCGTACTGAGATACATCCCGGGAGAATAAGAACGGCTCTTCTGTGCCCGCCACTACCCTCTGTCTGTCTCTACTAGAGCGTGTATGAGAAGTCTTCCAGCTCTGCTTGTGCCCCCGTCAACCTAACTGGACAGGAGTTCCTCAGAGGCAGGGCTGGTCTTTAGCTCCTTGTCCCTCCAGCAGCCATTACTTTGACTGTTGCAAAACTGGGCTAAATAAACTAAAACGTGCTGAGTGACTCGGATGAAGCATTTATCCAGTTATTCTTTATCAATAAAAACTCGGGAGTCAGATATGGGGCCCAGAACCCAAATGATGAGAAAAGTGGTGGAAAAGCCACCAGTGACCTCCCCGGCCCCCTGACCCCAGCTCTCTCTTGTTCCTCAATCTAGAGAGGCCGAGACCCTCTCTAATCCCCACCCTACTACTTCCTGTGTAAAAAGGATCAGTCTGTCCTCAGTCCTCCAAAATCTCTATGGCTTTTGGTCGGCTAGTTAGTTAACTCTGCCCTCTGATTCAAAGCAAACGTTGTTGTAGGTCTCAGGAGTGTCAGAATGCAAACAAAATGGCACTTGAATGTGTGCATAAGATGAAAATAAGTATGCTTCGTGAGGTATTAAAATTTATAACCTGTAAACATTAATATAAATAAGTCTGAGAAAAGAAACCATTTGCAAAGAATAAGAAAGTGCATAACCCGGGAATAGAGGCTGTTCCATTGTTAGTGTCTCACAGTGACTCTCCTGAACTCCAGGTTGGCACTAACAAATACTTCTGAAGGGATGTTCTCATATAAATTTGAGACATGTGAAAGTTTTCAATATGACTGGCTGGATTTGGGGGAGGATGAAAGCTGAATAGAATGCTTAAAGAGTTTTATGTGTATGGCCTCACAAAATGAAAATGTAAGTCCATGTAAAACTTGTACATTGATATTCATGAAATCATTACCCACAATAGTCAAAAAGGAGGTTTGGAACCTCCATAAACCAATGACTAAATAAATAAATAAAATGTTGGATATTCATACAATAGACTATAGCATTTGGCAGTGAAAAGGGCTCACGTTATGATGGTAATTTGTAATACGTATAAACCTCAAAAGCAATACATTAAAAGAAGGAAGCCAGTTAACAACGACTAGACATAGGGCATGATTCCATTGATAAGGAATATCCAACATGACCGAAGCTGTAGAGGCAGAAAGTATAGGCTCACTGCCCAAGGCTGAAGAGATTGCGCAAGGGTAGAGCTCTCCGGTGTGGGAGGGAATAGAGAATGACGGTTAATAAGCAGAGCCTGCTTCGCGGCTGATCAAAACATTCTGCAGGCAGTCATGCAGGGGGGACACACAGCACTGTCCTTACAAGAGCTGCTTTTAAAACTCTACACTTAACGGCGTATCTGGGGTGCATTTGTTACTTAGCAATAGTATTGTTATCTTTTCCTTAAATGAAAAAAAAAGTCCCTTTCCACAAGCCGAAGGAACACTCCGTCTGTTGGAAGAAGGAGTCTCTGCTGGCTGCTGGAGCGAAGTGAGCAGCTTCTCTTACTTGGAGGCAGAGGGGACCTGTCCCGTACAGTGGCCGTAACTGAAGAGCTTAGAGGCCATCTGAGTCGCAGGACGCATTCTGTCATTTGCCAGCCATAACTCTGAGTCAGTTGTTTCTCCATCAGCTGCCTTCATTATCATCCCCCGGGGGGGAAATGTAGAAACTGAGATGTTTTAATTGGTAATGAGGATCCATGGAAACATGTAGAGCAGCTCCAGTCATGTGAGTAGCCCAGCCGTGTACTTGCTCCTTGTTCTCAGCACCCCCCCCATCCCAATTTACACAGCAGTAGGACAGACCCTGCTGGTTTTGGTCTGGTGCTTGGTGCTTGAGTCACCTGGGAGGCCCTTCAACTGTATACTACCTTTGTAGGCCTACTGATGGCTCTCCATGGCTTTCTCGACTCTCTGAGGCAGATGTAACATTTAGTGCACCTGACATTCTTCACTGATGAGAGTCCCCAGCCAGGGACCACACACTCTCCTGTCTAGCTCTCAGCATCACTTCTGCACTATAGCAAGTGGGGGCTTTGGTAAGGAACTTCAGGTTTGTACAAAGGAGGTTAGGCAAATAAAACCACCTTTCAAAACTCCAGGATGTATCTAGCCCATCTAGAAATCTCTCTCTCTCTCTCTCTCTCTCTCTCTCTCTCTCTCTCTCTCTCTCTCTCTCTCTCTCTCTCTCCTCTCAGATCTTGCTGTGTAGTCTTGGCTGGTCTCAAACTTCTAGGTGCAAGTCATCTCTTGACACATCCTCCTGAGTAGTTGAGACTACAGACATCCACCACAGTGGCCTGCTCCACCTGGACATCTTAGCAGCTACTACTCAGGTTAGAGAGAACTGTTCTTTATGAGTATAAAATTCTTAAAAAAAAAAAAAAAGAATACCTCAGTAAAAGCCAATATAAAAAAACATAAACTTGGTGTTTATCTTGCTCTAACCACACTTGTTGCACACCCCTTATTAGTGTATAAACAACTTCCCATTTGTGGGTGTCGTTGTGAACACTTTCTGTGTATGCATCACTTAGGGGCCCACATGGTCCTTTAGCAATGAGAAAGAGTTATAGCCACAGGGCAAAATGCTTCCAGGCACAAACAGAATATTAACGAGGAAAATCAAAGGGAAAAGAATTTTTAAATCCCAAGGGAAAAAATACAAAGCAAAGAAAATTTATAAATCAATTTAACGTGAGAAAAGATAGGGTTTAAAAGGCTAAAAAGAGCCTCCGCTCTCTTTAGAAGTCATTTAGGACAGGGAACTGTTGGAGGAATTTCCCCTCCTTGCCCTGTCTTGCTCTGTGCCTTTGAAAAGTGGATGACGTATAATGTCAGTGCATTGTTTGGAGCTGAAATCTAGAGAAACTCTGAAGAGGTAAGATAAAGGATGGTGTCAATCAAAACCACCTCAGCCTCTGGAGATGGCTCTGTCTAGATTTTCTTAAGAGGAACACAGTGGAAAATGTATATAGAGTTGAGGTGTTGCTCATTTTGAAAACAAGACATGGGTCATTCACTCAGCCATGTAGCCTATGTACTGACCATAGGTTTGCAAACTCTCCCCAAATGGTCACAGTGCAAAGAGGTTACTCAACACCGATGTTATGTGATACTGATGTATGCAATAGGGCTCATTTAGAAGACTTTGCTAATTTCTCTCTCTCTCTCTCTCTCTCTCTCTCTCTCTCTCAAGATCGTTTTCAATGTGATTATGCAACCTTTATCAATTCCTTTAAAAAAGACCTCTTCTTATTTCACAAGTTTTGATTCCACAGCTAACCAGGGAAGAACGATTTCTGACCCTAGTTAGGAGCTACGTCACTAAACTGATGTAACTAAAAGGATTATGTCCATGTTAAAAGATAAATAAATAGAAAGGGCACCGGTCCTTCTGTCGCAGAACACCCGGCAGCAATAATCCTTATGATTCCCTGCCACCATGTGGTGGGTTATCTTCTCCTAAGGTGACCCTTCATTATATCCCATCCAGAATGTTCCTACCATGTGAGGCTGGTACTTATGCATGGAAAAGAATGGGGCACTCCTCTCTTGGGAGGCACCTCCTTCCGCTAAAGCTGGGTCAACCTGTGATGACAGCGGCAGTAGCATCTAAGGCTAAGCAACAAAAGATGATATCTTTTCCACCTGGGCATCTTGGGAAAACTCACTGTAGAAAGCAAGTCACCATATTAGAAGGAACAACTTCCCAGAAAGATTACATGTGGCGTTCCAGGGGTGCCTCAGCTGAGGGTCCAGATGACAACTAACATCGATGACCAGAAGCAACCATGCCAAGGCTTCAGATGTCACAGCTTTCAGCCTTCCAGTTGATGTCCACTCAAGAGAGACAGTCAATATTCTCCGGTCCTCTACAATGAAGTTAGGAACAAGCACAATTGTGCTCATTATTTCAAAATACTGGCTTCTACGGTGATCTGTTACATGGTAATATATAACCTGAATAATTATTAATACAAAAAAATAGATGAGTACCTACATATGTCAATGAAAAGCTCCATGCTTATAGACTCATAATTTATAAACGTTGACTGATTCAATGGTTTAATAAATACAACTGACTGTGATCACTTGTGGGGCAAGAATCCAAGGGTAGGAAGTATACTTTTCATGAGCTTCAGACACAAGCCAGGTTCTCAGAGCTGCCTCCTGGGTGTACCATGAAGGCTCACAAAGGGACTTTTTATTCCATCCCTACTGAACTGCAATACTGACATGACCCAGGAAGGTGCATATGTAACAAGGACTTGGTTTGCTGACTAGAAAACGTACATTATGAAATTCTGTAGTCCCTGCTCTTTCACGTTGCCCAACACATCAATTGCCTGAAAGTTTTAAGAAATGGATTTATGCTTTTAAAAAAAAAGCCACAGCTCAACAATGAAACTTTTGATGGAGTTTCTTATTTCCAAGTGATGGTAATGGGGGTTGTTTATGATTTTCTGAATGACTATAGGCTTTCTTCATTTCGATGGCGCTGATGATAATTGATTCCAATCTACCTCAAGGACTGCCTGTTCCTTAGGCTACCTTTTGATTAGAGATTGAGAAAGAGCAGGAAATTAAACAGCAGGTGACTCATCATGTCACCAGGGCAGTCCCCATCAAATTTAATAAACACGGCAATTCTCCATGAGAATGTTTTCAAATGTTCTGGAAATTTCCAAAGAATTCATTATTCCCTTCCAGGTATTTCAGAACAAGCAAAGACCGAAGTGATTTTGTTCCCATGCTCAAGACAGCCCAGAATTCACGGATGTGCTAAGTGTGCAGGTAAGAATTGCCTTATCCTCCAATCGTAGCTTATTGCCGTTCAGTGAGAAACAGTCAAGTGCTTATCAGGAAAATGATAACAGACACTACGATATTGGGCCATGTAAGTGAAAGATCCAGTCATCCGCCGCCTTTCTTTATCTCAACCTGCTTTATTCTGAACCCTGAATTCAGGAGTGTTGGCTTGATAAAATCAGAATGGTTTATATCAAGAATATATATCTTCTACTAACTCATTTGACTTTGGCAAATAAAACAAAACAACAACAACAACAAAAACAAAAACAGCCTTTCAGGGGTGTGCTAATGTTTAGAAAGGAGAAAACCTGGAAATGTTCCTCAGATGCCATAGGAGGCAGTGTAGCACAATGGGTAAACAGGAGATTTAGGAAGAATCCATTGTTGTGAGCCTATGGCGCTCTTCAAGTCATGACAAATGTCTAGGACTTGATGTGTGTCCCGGTAACATGTATGTGATCCTGGACTTGCAGCAATACTAACATCCATTATCTTTGAATGTAAAAGCAGCAAGTACACCATTATAATCCAGATCTAAAGTGCTCCCCCAA